CACACCTAGTTGGGCCTGTCACATTAACACAGCTGGTAAACAGGGGGGTTGCAGCCCAGAGACCCAGTCTAAGCGTGGTTGGACCGCATGGTTCCGCCCACAGTGAGGTGCAGAAAGCCAAGCATATCACCCAAGGGGTGCACTCACAAAGTGCTAACAGGAATCTAAGCTGCAGTTCATTTTGTAACCATGACAGAGATATTAAAGTTCTATTTGTTTGTTTCTATTTATGTTTGTTTCTCTCTCTCTCTCTTTTTTTTTTTTATCATTATGTCTGTTTCAAGATTAGCAAACCACAGGAGGTAAGCCGTATTATGGGAAGAGCACAAGCTTGCTTGGGTTTTACAGCCCTCAACTGATGCCAGGATTTAAAGTGACAGGTAATGCACAATGCTGAAAATAAAATGTCAATATTCTCCTCAAATAAACAGAATTACCTCTTCTTAAAATCAAAGTCAATCTGTTTTTAGTACCCCACTCAGAGCTGACTAATCTAAGTAGCCAAAAACAACAGAAGATACTTAAAGTACATAACAGACAATAAAAATCAGGGGAGAACAGCATATCAGTGCCATTTCCTATAACTTCAAAGACTGTTTGATTGCTAATCAGAGAGTAAAATGGCAGATATTTAGTTGATTAAAAGAGCTGCTTCAAACAATACATTTCAAGTTATCACAGAATCATGGCAATTAGAGATGGAAAGGACTCATTAAGACATCTTGAACATATTCTGTTGCTTTTCCAAAGCCAAATTACTGCAGCTACCTTTTAATGAAATCTGTGTTTATCACCTTCTCTTCCCATTTCACAGAAAATTTCAGTAGAAATAGTGCTTTAGCATTTGATTTAATTGAGCAGCTACTGATTAGCTTCTCAGAGATAGAGTAGCTGCTGATTATGGGGAAAGCACACAGTAACACTGATTATAATTTCTGAATATACTAGGCTGAGAGTAACAGGGATTATAAATAAGGAGGCTAATTTGAGGCAAAATATGCCAGTTTCTTAAAGCTTTACAACACTTTATTGGCTAAATATAATATTCATGAATGAATGTACTATTCACGTTAATCAGTAATGTGACTATACACAACTGATTTCTTTAAAATACTCAAACACAATGTAAAAGTTAAAACCATAAAAAGACAACTTTCTATTAAAGAAAGTATTACAAAAATAACTTCACCATTTTAGGGGTAAATATGATCTAAATATGGCTAGGTCACACAAAGTCTAAAATGGATGAACCCCTTCCAGGGTAAAAGGTCCAACAGGGCCTATATCCCTGTGCCTTTGTTCAAGGCTTTAGCCCTGTCTCTGGGCTCAGACCTCATCTCCGGGCTCAGACCTCATCTCCTTCTGGGCTAGCTTTAAGCCTGTGCCTGCCCTGATATAGAGCAGTGTCCCCAGGGCTTTCTCCCTGGAGATTCTTCACCTTCTTATTGCCCCAACGCTCCAGCAGGTCACTCCTTCACTTCAGTCCCCTTCCACTGGTAAAGTTCAACAAATGGTTGGCCCTCTGCAGGGTCTTCAGCCCTGTCCTTGGGCTTCTATTCCAGCCCTGTGCTTGGGCTTCTACATAAAATGTGTCCCCTTCTCAGGGCTTTGGCTACTTCACCAGTGGGGGGAGCCGGGCCCACCCACTACTCCAGGTACCAATCTAGGGACCCTGCAAATATCAGCCACATGCTGCTTTCCTTAATAGTGGCTGCTACTGCATTCCCTGGGCTGCTTCCCACTCTGTCCCATCACCTTCACCCAAGTTACCTTACAGTTACAGTCTTCGGGTTTTCTGTCTGTTCCTACTTGAGCAGGGTCTCTCCCCAGCCTCCTCGCATGGAGGATTTCACAACATTGTAGTCCTTCCTCACTCTTCTGGTCCCAGCCAGCAACTGACCTGCTCAGATTTTGCAGCTCCTTTTAACTGAGCCTGCTGGGCTCTGATTGGCTTCTTCCCTGCAGCCTTTCTAGGCAGACCTGGCGGACCCACCTTTACTGCTCCTTTTCTAGGGCAGGATGTAGTAGGACCACAAGGCCTCCAGCAGGGGACCTCAACAGGCCCAGTACACCCTGTCACGGGGACTCCTTGCAGAATGGCATTTTAAACAAAATATTACTGTATAACAACTCCAATTATACAATAAAATATCCATGAAAGCTATCACTTTAATTAGAAAAGAAATTCATTAAAGTGAACTAATTTCATTTCAAATAACAAACAGGTAGGTTATGAAAAAATTGCTGGATACCAAAGATTATAATAATATACTCCCAGTAGGCAAAGAAAGGTGGTAATCTTTTATAATTATACAAAATTACAATGGATTTTAAAGTTATGGGGCTTCACTCTCCCCTCTATAAAAAGAGATAATTACTCACCTTGTAATTATTTTTCTCTGAAGAGCTCATCCATGCAGGATTCTTATTCTTGGGCCTTGTGCAAGACAGACGGGAACTTCCTACACTCTTAGAGTTCTGGATCCTCCCTAACAGCAGTAGTAATGGAGGTCTCAGCCCACCTATCCTGTATACTTCAATTGTCTACTCAGAACAAGTTGGGAATTGGGTAAATTATCATTTAAACTTAGTGACTCTGTCACCCCACTGGTGTCTTTGATCAGCCAAGGAAGCTGAACCCTCCACTCCCATGGTGAGTAGGGTAAGCTATGACTATCACCAACCATTTTGTGAAAAGATGCAGCACTGAGGCCTGCCCAAAAGGCAAGACTCAAAATTAGTAGTGTAGTCCCCCTATGGCAAATCTTCCTTTATTTTTGAATATCCTTAAGTAGGCAGCTGCAGAGCACCTAGCCAGATAATTTCTTCTAAAAGATCACTGAAGGCTCCCATGGTAACCAGTAACTATTTCAGGGGTAAATATTGATTCAGTTCCCTGCGCCCTAAGGTGTTGCCAGATGCTTCTTTCTTTTTTACTATCAGGATATAACATCCTTTCCTTTCTTGCCTAGAAGCACAAGCTTAATAGCTTTTTTGGACATTAGGAATAGATTTCCTGCAACATCTCTTCCTGATACCCAGAGGTGGGGAAAAATCTTGATAATTTTTGAAAACTTGATTTTTGCAGTCCCACAGAGCAATTCCTAGGACTCTCATGTACAGGGGGACAAGGGCACACCTCAGGGTAAAAGGATCTTAATCTGCTCTGACGGGGATGTCCTGGCAAGCTACAGAAAGTGGTTGGCTGCTTATCTGCCCTAGTTGTATGCAGTGTTTTTGTAGCAATGCTGGTCCCAGGATATTACAGAGACAAGGTGAGTGAAAGAATATATTTTATTGGACCAACTTCTGTTGGTGAGAAAGACAAGCTGTGTAAGCTTGAAAGGGTATCTCTCTCACCAATAAAAGATATTACCTCACCTTATCTCTCCTATATCCCCTAGAACATACTGAAAAGCCATTGGCTTCTGCTGCTGTGAATGAGTATCCTGGGCAAAATGGGTATTGGCCTCCCTCGAAATCAAGTGTCAAGGCACAAGCCACCTTTCTAAGCGGTAGAACCTTTTCCTTCCCTCCCTTGAGGAGAGGGCCTAAGGGATAGGATACAAGCTCAAAACAAGCTCTCTCATTGATAAGGCAAGTCATTAGGTTTTTCTCTCGATCTCCAGGGAGGAGACTACAGCCACCCAGCCCTGGTGGGAGTCACTACCAAGACAGCAGATCTCATTACTGTATCAACTACATCAAATGCTGCCCACATCTGATGACAGGACAAATCAACACCCTCATGCACTTACCTTTTAAGTTACTGCAGAAAGGATCTGACCAGGACAGACAGCTATTCCTAAAGCTCAACCTGTACTTTGGCTATCACTCAAAAGATTGCCTCCAACCTTTGTATCCCAGCACTGAAGCACAGGCTTCTGGGGGGTGGTGCCATATGCTCAGCCTTCCTTTGCTTTGACCACGGTTGTCCAGACTACTAAGTTCTTGCAGGAGAAGGTGAGCAATCACCATCATTACGGAGGAGCACTTATTACTCAACCTTGTTCAAACAGGGCTAGCTGAGACAGGTATGTAACACCTTCTTCACCAGCGGGTGCCAGGGCACAGCAACTCTACTGGAGAGGGGATTCCAGTAGTTCAATTAAAGCCTCAGAGCAATGACTAAGGCTTTGAAAACATTGAAACAAAAGTCCGTAAGGTCAGCAAACTAAAAGACAAATTAAAAGGACTGGACCTGATTGGCAGATAGGAATGGCCACACCAGAAGAAGATAGTCCTTCCAATTCCTGTTTTGGGATGAAGAGCCACAACAGAAAGCTGGAGACAAAGCTCCTACAGTAAACTCTTTCTCTAACTGCAGACAAGAAAGAACTATTTGGAAGCTTCCAAAAGCAGCATTTAGACCGCTATATGGTGCAACTACCAGTGGGAGGATGGCAAATGGAAAGCTCATGCCCCAACCCATGACAGCTGCTTTAGGGACCAAAAACCTTTAGACCTTGGGAAGTTCCAAGGAACTTGTAGAACAAAAGGCCACGAGTGAGAATTCTGCACAAATGTTATTTTGCGTAGTTTAGATTATTTTAGAATTCTTCCCATGGTCACACCTCCTACAACCATAATGACCCAAACGAAAAACAAAACACACAACAATGATTTTTAAATTGCTGATAAGTCTATGTCAATTACGCCTCTCAGCACAATGAAAAATGCTTCATTAGGTTCAGGTGATGAAATCAGCATAATGTTTATTTACTGTGGTGGAAATTTCATATAATTTGCTGCACACCTTCAGTATGTACATAAATCTTAACAAATAACTAAAAGCAGTAGTGTCAGGAAAATCATTACTTGCAAAATAAAAAACAACCAAAACCAAACTATTAGTAAAATACTAACATTCAGAGATAGAATGAGGCTGTGTGGACCAATCTGTTTTCATACACACAACCTTATGGTACACGGCATTCATTTAATTTTAAACATTATCCAACTCAATGGCTATAAAAATATGATTTCATGCTCTAACTCACCAACAATCTCACTTGGCTCCTTGTTGTAAAGTTTTTTGTTCCAGTAAAGGAGTCTGAGGAAAGGAAAGGAGACCAGAAGAACAAGACAAATTCCAACAAACATATGTCCTGTAAATGCTGCAAAATCCAATCCCTAGGAGTAAAAATGCAATTATAAATTACAGATCAGTTATTTTCCTACATTACCTGAAAAAGTATTTGTCATTATGTACTTTACAATTCAGTGATTATATACACGTAACAAAGTAGGCAATAGGTAATTTCCAAGCATAGCTTATTTTGTGCTTCCCCAGTCTCAGGGAAATTATTATTAAATAAATTTCATGCCAACCAAACCAACTCAAAAATATTCCATTAAATTTCAGTGTATCAAAATAGTTCTTATATATTTACATACTAATTACCAGCTCCTGGCTCCACTGATGACAATATGAGTTTTTGCATCCATTTTACTCAAACCAAGACCTGTCCCAAATTCTACAATATGCTATTACAGCAAAAACATTCTCTAGCAATTAGAACACATTTTGCAATATTTTTTCTTCAATTTAGTATTTGTTTGAGTTCCTTTATACTTCCTGTATGACGGAGGCTTGGAACAGGGTCAAAAGCAGAATTCAAATATATAATGTAATGTTCGATATTTGGGGTGGAATTTTCCAAAGTGCTTAGTGTTGATCTAGCTCTGCTCCCATTAAAGTCAAAGGTAAAACTCCATTGACTTAAATGGAAGGAGAGTTGGGCCAATGCAGTGTGCTTTTGAAAACCTCACCCATTATTTCTTACCAAAAAAAAAATTCAAGTTTTGTCCCCTATTTATATTATATTGCTTTAATTTTAATAAAGGCCCTAATGACAAAGAGTTTCAACTCTAGATATTAGAAATATATTGATATCAAGGTTCCCTCCAGTATCCACAACAAGAGTTCTCTCAACAGGGAATCCCCACAAAGCCAGATTTGGGAGGAAGTTTTTTTTAAATATTATTTATTAAGGTACTGGACTACCACGCAAGAGATCTGGGTTCAATTCCCATCTCTCCCACAGACTCGCTGTGTGAAGTCATTTAATCTTTCTGTGCCTCAGCCTCAGTTAAAGCATCTTGCTGCTGTTGTAATGCAAATAATACATAGTAATAACATTTCCATGCAGAATCAGGGGCTGTTTACATCCTGAATTTTAAGACAGCTTGGACTTGCAACCTGAAATACACACTGTTAGGCTGCACCATACTCCCTATTGAGAGCATCTATGTGGAAAGCTCTCAGTTCGAGTATATATGATGTGGAAACATCCAGAGCAAACAAGACAGAGGCCCTCCCACGCAACCCCTTCCATCTTTTCAGAACAGATTGTATAAGTCAATCCTGTAAATGCTCATAAAGGCTGGTCTGGATACTTAGCAGGCATCAAATTAAGTTTCAAAGCTGAAGGAGAGAACATTATGAAGGAATCAATCTACAAACTTTTAAGAGATCTACCAAGAGTCATGTGAGCAAACAAAGACTTACAGGGCCAGATTTTTCAACATCTGCTCACAAAAACAGACATATTGTCCTGCATATATTTACATAATTACAGACATTTTGCATGAAAATGGGCCTAACTACCCAAATGTTTGCATAAGGGCCTCTTTCTTTAAAGATATGGACCACAAAAGAAGACAGAAAATGCTGCCACGTGAACCATGATTCAAGAGATATGAAGAAGCAGTAATTGGTTCTACACAGTCTAATCTAGAAGGTTTGCAGGTTTCCTATATAATCTGAAGAGATCCAGGAGTATGACTGGGATTGAATTGTATGCACTTTGATGCTGCACAAACCAATAATCCTCATTCCCAGGATAATACAATGACTGGGACACAGTTGGATGAGGAGTAAAACAGGAGAGATGATCAGAATATACCTAACCAAGAGCTACTGGAATAAGTCCAATTCTTTCAGTTTTCAACAGACTCTCAGAATGTAATGCACTTGAGACTTTTCATAGCACTGACAGCAATTTATCTATCTCAGTGCAAAGAAAGACAGCCCTTAGGTGGATCCTGTTGATAGGAGTTCTCGAAAGAGATAGTCAGAGTTAAAGGCACTTAGATTATTTACTACTTTTAAAATGAAAAGGGGAAAGGGGGACCTAAAACACACAGAAAACACCTTTATTTCTGATGATTGGATTAGACCAGAGTCATGTGTTATGGGAACATGGCAAAGATAAAGAATATGGTACCTCAGAGACCAGACCTTAGACTTTGATTTACAAAGTTTCCTTACATCTCTAGGTTTTGGATGTCTGCACCAGTGCTGAAAAGTTTTATCATCAATTGTAACGATGCAGAAACTTCTCAACAGAAAAACACAGTACAAGAAATACCTTTATATGAAACCCTCAAAATTAAATTCTTATGTGAAAAAGAAAAGCATAGCAATCAGGAAAAAAAATAAAATGCTGAAGTTGATAAGCAGCTCTCAAGTTTGATTGACAGCTGAAAGAAATTGAACTGAGATGGGGCTGTGCATACAGATACTTATTTTGAAGGGACAGTGTCAATTTATACTCTTTGAAATTCAAGACTAGGCACAAGGGCACAAGAGTTGACACAAAAGTCTCAGAAGTAAGGATTTGTGCACAACATCAGCAGAGGAAAATTATTTGCATCTTCTTGGTATTCCATCACAGCTGCTACTCAAGCTGCGCAGAGTGTTTGAGTAATTGGGCTGAATTTCGGGGTTTTGTTCAGCTCCAAAACTTTCTCCCATCAACCCTGCTTATTCTTTAAATCTTTTGAGAAGAGGACAGGCAATTCAACACCCAGCCCCACTGGCTAGTTTCCTTTGCTATCTTCTTCATACTTTGCATAAAGTCTGATGCTCCAAGCTCCCTTCGACACTGTGGACACTTTTCAGGACTGGGTGTGCAGCAGCCATACCAAGTAATATCAGAAAAAACAAGCAAGATTAAATTTAGCAAGATTTGCCCAGCAGTCAACTGACATTCTCTGAATTTCTTAGGAAGAAGAATACTACCTCCTCCTTGAAGATATAAGCAGAAGGAAGATGGGTGTGGAGGAATTGCAGGCAACAAAACTCTATGTTAGGGTGTAATCTAAGAACATCCCAATGCCAGAGAAAAAGGGACTCCCTGAGATCTAGTAGAGATTTTCAGCTGGCCTGATCAGTTCAGTGTATTCATTAATGTCAAACTTGATCTGATGTGTGTCAGGTAAAGCCGTGGTCCAGGGCCCGTGGTGGGGCCACAAGCTGGTTTCAGGTGGTCTGCCAAGCAGGGCCGGTATTAGACTTGCTGAGGCCCAGGGCAGAAAGACAAAGCCCCACCGCATGGGGCTGAAGGCCATGGCACTGAGCCCTGCCAACCAGGGCTGTCGCTGAAGTCTGAGCAACTTAGCTTTGCAGGACCCCCTATGGTGGGGGGACCCGGGAAACTGCCCTGATCACTACTCCCCAACACTGGCCCTGGCTTTTTTATGCAGAAAAACAGTTGTTGTGGCACAGGTGGGCCATGGAGTTTTTAAATAGCATGTGGGGGGGGGGCCTCAGAAAGAAAAAGGTTGAGAACCCCTGAGGTAAGGTATCATTGAAAAAGTAATAACACACTGATTATTAATATTCTTGTGTGTTATATGTACGGTAAAAGCCCATGGGATCGTAAAAATGTGAAGGATGTGTGGGACTAAAATGTGTTTACCAGACAAGTCCGTGGAGTGAGTAAACAGATTTCTCCCAGGCAAAGGATGAGTTGACACTTCCAGACAGGTGTCATTGGAGTCTATTGGCAATCACATGTCAAGTGGCCATTCATTTGCATTGGAGGGGACAGGAACAGATCAATTTGCATTATAGCAGACACCCGTGGAGGAAGAAAGCAGCATGGGGCTTCCTTCACCACCAGACTCCCGGTCTCCTCTCTCACAGCTTGAATGAACTTCATTTTGTGCGGTAACCTCCAGAAGAATCCATTTAAAAAGTTCACTGGACTATGAAAGAGAGGGGCAAAGAACCCCAAGTTATCTTTCACCTAAGATGACAAAGGAAACTTGCGAAGAGATCCTGGCCAGAGAGAGGGGTGGTCAGTCATCTTGCTGGAAGAAGTGTGTGGTAAGAATCTTACCTGATACCTAGACAATAGCTTGTTAAAGTCGTAGCATTAGAAAACATTTTGAGTATTATTTGTTTGTAATCGTTTCAGTCTTTATCCCTTATACTTGATTTCACTTAAAACCTATGTCATTGTAATTAAATAAACTTGTTTTAATCTAAAGCAACCCAGTGCTGTGTTTGAATTGAAGTGACTGTTTACTTCAGTTACACTAATAAGCTGTGCATTTTGCCTCTTTAGAGGAGCAAACAAGTTTAGTATTCCTCTGAATGTTCCAGGAAAGGGCTGGACATTGCAGGGCATACGGTTTGGGGAAAAATTGGGACTGGGGGTATATTGAGGTCATTTCACCAGGTATAATCAAAGCTAATTGAAACCAGGGAGTGACTGTGTTGCTACAGGAGGCAAACTGCTGATGTCAGAGTGCTTGATGAGGGTTGCACAGCATACAGA